ATCACCCGCCACAGCCGCCCTAACATCGGTGGCCGGGCCTTCAGCCTCCCAGCCCCGAGGCTCTGGAACTCCATCCCCCAGTGCGTTCGCCTTGGTTCCTCCCTTTCCTCCTTCAAGGCCGTGCCTTCAGCTCCCCTCTCCACTCTCTACCCCCTCCTCGCTCCCTCCCTTCCCTCCCCTCACCCTGACCATTTCCCCACTGCTCGTGTGCTGACATAACTGTCCAGTGCCTTGGGACGTCCTCCCGACGTGAAAGGCGCTCTATAAATGGAATTTTGTTGTTATATTATTACTGCGTGTCAGAGAAAGAGAGACACTGTGTACCCCCTCCTCGCACCTCCATTCCCTCCCATCACCCTGTAAGACAGAGAGACGGGTGCGCTCCTTCCCTTCCCTCCCCTCAACCTGACCATTTCCCCCCTGTTTGTGTGTGTCTGCGAGAGACAGATAGAGATTGCGTGTGTGTGACACAGAGACTGTGTGTGTGTGTGTGTGTGAGAGAGAGAGTTTATATGACTGTGTTTCAGAGCTGCCCCTCAATCCATTCTCCTCTTAAACGAGCACGGACACTGCAGATCAATATCATAAAGTCAGGACATGCCGCTCATTCACAGCTCAGTCAGTGAGAGAGACAGAGATAGAGAGACAGTGTGGACATGTGTCTGTCCCTGGGTCTCGGGCACACTCTGACTACAGCTCCCAGGATGCACAGCGCGGCCCCGCTCCGTGAGCAGAGGCCTCTGAGCCGTGAAGAATGCCGGGATCTGTAGTTTCCGGGGTCTGTGCCGCAGGCTGTGGCTGTGATTGTGATGTCAGAGAGAGAGGGGGGCAGTGAGAGGATGAGTGTGAGAGACAGAGAGGGATAGAGAGAGGATGAGTGTGAGAGAGAGAGGGATAGAGAGAGGATGAGTGTGAGAGAGAGAGAGGGACAGATAGAGGGTGAGTTTGAGAGAGACAGGGAGGGAGCGAGAGGCGTGCTACTGATCTGCCGCCGCCATATTTTCTCTCTCTCACTCCCTCCTGCACCCCTTCTCTCTCATACACACTCTCTCGTTCTCTCTTCCTCTCTGTCTGTTTCTCTCACATTGACCTTCTCTTTCTTTCGCTCACAGCTTCTCGCTGTGTGTGACCCTCTCTCTCCTCTCCCTCCATCACGTGGTGACGCCAGCACGCCCCTCTCCTCCCCTTCACTGACAGGGAAGCGCCCACTTTCTCCCTGTTAACGGGTAATTGATAGGAAAGAGAGAGACATGCCCACGGTCACGGTGATTGAGAAGACAGAGAGAGAGAGCCACGACCAGTGTTTCCCTGGTAACCAGTGACTGACTGGATAGAGAGAACCGCACTCACACTTATCCTCTGTCGTTCTCTAATCAATGATTGACAGCAGTGAGAGAGAGAGAGAGAGAGAGAGAGAGAGAGAGAGACCAACTATAATTCTCATTTTTATTGTTATTCTTCCTCCGGTTCGGAGTCAGGCGCTGCCAAAGTTAAGCTCTGAGGAAATGCGCTGTGGAGAAAGAAAGGGTTCTATAATTGCCAGTTGATGTGATTATTGTTTTTGTATTATTCCTATTGTTGATATTAGTATAATATATCAGAAATTTTGTATTGTATCAGTATTAGTGGCATATTATTATTTTTAGTACAGTTTCTAATGTACATATACATGAACATCAACTTTCAGTTATAAAGCGCCTTCCACGTGGGACTGTCGCATTATTTTTTGTGTGAAACGCAGCAGCCAACTGAACACAGCTATGACCCACAAAAAAATGTTTGAAATATAATAGTGCTGCGTTTCATCAATAAAATACAGTCACTACACTTTGCAGTACAACAATAACGTCAACAAACAACAAAATTACATTTATAAAGCGGGTTACACGTCGGAAGGACTTCCCAGTATATCTTGCGAAGCGATTTGAATATCTGATAGGACACGATATCAAATGCAAGGATTATGATGATTTTTAAAAATCACATTGGAGATTCGATGTGGGTTTCTACACAGAGAAACGTGGAGAATAAAAACCCTCTTTGAACACTCTGACCTTAGCTTCAGCTGTTTATCTTTCCTTGTGGTTAAATAATTGGGCCGTTTTTGCATGGAGTTTTGTGTTGTTGGTACTTTATATCCGGTAAAGCTGCAAAGCTTAGACAATAGCAGTGATTCAGCTACCTTTGCCATTTGACATCACGTCTAATATAAAAATTTTCAAACAGCTTGAATTGAGCTGACGTGCACTCCATCATCTGGAGAAATTCCCATCTCTTTTCCAAGTACTATCGACTACTTTAAGAGACATAGAAATCAGTGAGCTTCCTGGGAGTTCTGAGTCTCACTTTTGGAGAGACACCATAATTGCCCTCTGGATATTGATAGAGAGGATAATGTGCCTCAGATAGAGTCCTGGTTAGGTTTGATATATTCATTCTGGTGGAATTAATTATAGTTAGGTTGCCACCTGATTTCATATGAATTACAATAATTTGCGCAAACGGTATCTGCCTGTCTTTCCTCTTGCCTGTTAATAGCTGAGTTGCAGCTTAAAAGGCAGATATGTTTGCTCCCCCTGTGGTTACCCGAGGTATTGCAGGCTGGAAGTGGCTTCCTTGTCTAATTGTAATGTTCTCAAAAACCGACAAGACAGCAGGGATGGGGAAATCTCAATTTAACTCTCTATTTCCCAAAGCAACACAAATCCCGGGACAGGTACAGCACAATAGTGGAAACATTTCGCTTTATTTACCACCTGAGCTGATAACTAATCAGACCTTTCCAAGTAAAGAGCGTTACAGTTCCAATATCCCTCTTGAGAAAAAATATATAGATTACCAATTGAATGTCTATTATCAGCTCAAAATCTTTCTTTAGGAAAAAAGTCAAATCTCACATTACTTTGATTGGATTGTCAGTCAGTTTAAAGGCTGCTATTTTTACAGACACTCATCTGCTCTCCTATGTATCCACCTATATCTGACCTGTAGGATTTTTCCATTTGAAAACTGTACATCAACCTGAAAGTCATAGCCAAACTTCCTGTATGTTGTTCATCGAGCACAAAGATTCGCACAGAATGATCCAGAGAAACAGGCCATTCCAGTCAACTGGTCCATTCCCTCCCATCTCTCCCTGCACCTCTCTCCCTATTCCCTTCCTACAATGTTCTATTCCCAACTCCTACATTCCTCTATTTCCTCTCCTGAATCCCTCTGTTCACCACATCTACCCTTCCCTCTATTCCCATCTAAACACACCAAGTTCCCTATTAAATACACTGACATGTTCACATCACCAACAGATTGTGTCAACAAATTCCAGTCTCCCCACACTCTTTGTGAAAATATATCCTCTTAAATTCCATGATAGGTCAAATAAAAATAACGTTGTCTTCCTAACATTTTGTGTAGCATCATCCACTTCATGACTCCTTGAAGCTATCCTGCAAAGTGCAACTCTCTTTATTAATGACCCGACTTTTAGATTTACTGCTTATAAATGTCCTTTTTATCAAATTGTTTTCACAATCTGATCCACTTCCATGAGGCCTCCTCTCAATCTGGGGAGAAACGTTCCTATCTTTCTTGCTAATTGTATCCACTCATGTTGGTAAATGCTTTTTACATCTACCCTTTAGTGTTGCAACGCTGTGGAACATCAACCTTTATTGTGTTTCGTATTTTACAGCTTTCAACAATCTGTTCTGCTGCCTCTCAATTGTCGATTTGTGCCATACAATATAAAATTGCATTTGTAAAGCGCCTTTCACGTCAGGTTTGCTTCCGAGACCTTCCCACCTATAAGCTTCTGCCGAATCTCTGTTTCCCACCGTTCAACCACTTTCAATCCAAACCGCCAAAGTGAAATATTTGCTGGACTGTGGGGAGAGAGTGAGGGAGTAGGATTAAATAGGAAAGTTCGTTCAAAGAGTCGGCAAGATATGATAATCTGAATGCCTCTTCCTGTGCCGTATATATATGATTTCCCCCGATATCATTCTTTAATTCTTCACCTCTTTCGGTTCAGTAATTTATCAAGCGCTTCCTTGAAATCAAATACATAATGTCTGAATACTTTGGCTTCATTTATACTTTTATTTGCAACTTCAGTACCCAGTTTTTGCTGACGTTAGAACGTGTGTTTGGGTAACTGTTCTGTCTCTTCTGCTAAAACTACATAGCTTCTCATTGAGACCGGCGTCTGGCAAGCTATATTGCTGCTCATCCAGCAAGTAACAGTCCATCAGTTAGTTAGGGCTTTGGCTTGCAGGGATAAAAGAAGCTGAGTAGGAGGATTTCGTGCCCTCAGTTTCTAGTCTGCCCTTCCAGCTGTTGCTGATGAGCCAGGTTGGGCTGCGCTGTCATCCGCAGGCAGAGTCCTGAAATACTGCGGGGAAGCAAAGAAGGAAGTTACTAAGAAAAGAAAACGTGTCAACAGCTGAAAAGAGGAAGTAAGTAATCCGGTACAGAGACGAAACTGAGAGCGAAAATCTGGTTTCTCCAGTCGATATTTTGTTACAAATGACTCCAGGTATTATTCCTGCGTCAAATCCTTCTGCAATGTTTCAAGGAAATGTGGACTGATTATATGTTTGTTGACGAACACAATCATACAGAATTTGTGCACAGCAATGGGGAAGTGTCCAATGGGACACCAGCAAGAACTCACTTCTCCTTTCCACAGCATTTACCAGCTGCGTGTATAGCTCAGCTCACAACTCCCTATAAGGGCATGGCTCACTGCGTTAAAATAACATACTGTAGTTTCTGAGAATCGCGTTCACACTGGCTGGTTGTGTGTGAGGGTGATATAATTCCTATAAAAGGAAATCGTATGTGCTGGTCCTGCCTGGTCTCTGCCGAGAGAGAAAGAGTGGAAGTCTGATTGCCTGCTCCCAAGCTCTGATAATTGTGCAATATCCATCTCTAAGTCACAGATCGCGTTCGATTCTGAGTGTGAATTTATGTGTGTTTGTGTCTGTGTGTGTGTTTGCGAGTGTGTGAGTCAGACTGTTTCTTTGTGTTTGTGTGTCACATGGGTTAGGATGTTTGTGGACCACAGAGCTCAGTAATTCTGGAAAACGCTGCTCCTGAGATTCACACTGTGCGGTAAAACTCCGAGTCTGCAGAGCCCGCTACACATCGGATGCAAACACAAGCCACCAGGATTAGATCTTCACACGAGCCCCTACTCATGCTTGTCATGGAACCCTTGTTTCTCATCTTCCGTGAGTATTGTTGCTAAGCCAAACACATTGACGGCCCAGCTAGAGAAATAGACAGCAGAGAGGAGTGAGAGGCTTCTTGTTTGAACCTCAACTCTCCTTTCTACCCCACACGCTGTGCCTTCAACCACATTCGCAACATTACCCGACCTCGGCATTGTTTCAATCTACAGGCAAAGCAAACCCACCTTCACGCATTTACAACATCCAGGTTTGCCGACGCAAACTCACTGCTTATCGGCCTACACAATTCCACCCTTTATGGATGCATATCACCCAGAACTCTGCAGCCCGTGTCTCTGTGTACCTCTCTCTCTGTCTATGTCGCTTTATATTTGTCTCCGTGTGTCTTTATGTGTAAGTCTCTGTCTGTGTTTGTGTCCGCCACTCTGTGTATCTCTTTCTGTTTCAGTGTTTCTCTCCGTCTCTCAGTGAACACCCCTCTCTGCCGAAGTGCACTTCGCCATCTCTCCGCAACAGTCTATGTATTTGTATCCCTGTATTTCTCCCTCTCTGTCATTTTGCGTCTGTCACTTTCTGTGAGCCTCGCTATATATATCACTCTTTTTGTGCCTCTACGTCTCTCCCTCATAAAACGTGTGGCTGTGTGTGTCATTCTCTGTGTGAGTGTATCCTCATTGCCTTCGTTTCTCTGTATAAATCGCTCTGTTGATTTATATATGTATCACTATCTGTCTGTAGGTATCTCTCTAACTATTTGTGTCTCCCTATCTCAATTTTTGTATGTGTCTCTCGATGTATCTGCGCATATCTGTATGTCTGTGCTTCTTTGAATCTCTCTCTGTATACATCTGCCTCTCTGACACATTTTCTCGGTATCTCTATGTGTGTCTAGTTTTGTCTGTTTGTATCTCGCTCCATCACTCTCTCCATAAACATCTGCACAAATCGAGCATTATGACCGATCATTTATCTTTCTCTCTTTATCCGTAGCTAACTTAATGTCGATTCTGATCCTGTCTCGAGCGAGGTGCGGTCTCTCCAAATGTATCTCTCGCTATCTGGTGGCCATGGCAGTGGCTGATCTGATGGTGGTTATTTTCGCGGTGATTTTCGGCCGCATTCTTTTTTTTTACTTCCCAAGTTCCTTCTTGTCCATAACTCATGTGTGCCGACTTCTGGTTGTACTGGACATGGCAACAAAGGCAATTTCTGTCTGGTTGACTATTGCTTTCACCTTTGATCGATATGTGGCCATCTGTTGCCAAAAACTGAAAACAAATCATTGCACCGAAAAAACAGCTTGTAAAATTATAGCGACATTGACATTGTTATTCTTTGTTCAAAACATTCCCTGGTATTTCGTAATTGAACCACTGTATATAGTCAATAATATACCGTGGGGGTGTGCATATAAATCAAGCTATTACACTTCTCGTGCATGGGCGGTGTTTGACCTACTCACCATTATCTTAATCCAGTTTCTCCCATTTGTTCTGATTTTGCTGCTCAACGCCCTGACTGTCAGACATATACTGGTGTCCAGCCGAGCCCGCAGGAGATTGCGGGGACACAGTGATGGGGACAGGAATAGAGGATCGAGTGACAGTGATCCAGAGATGAGGAACAGAAGGAAATCCATCGTTTTACTATTTGCTGTTTCCGCCAATTTCATATTATTGTGGATGACATACGTTTTATTTTTCTTATACTGGAGGCTTTCAAAAACATATTACACGGGGTACAATGATCCCGTGTTTATTATCTGGCGAACTGGCTTCATGCTGCAGCTTTTGAGCTCCTGCACAAACACGTGTATTTACGCCGTTACCCAGACTAAATTCAGAGAGGAGATTAAGAAAGCGGTGACATTTCCTTTTATTCTAATTGTTAATTTGTTTCATTGACAAACTTTGCCAGTGTTGTGTGTCTGTGTTATAGGACAGACACAATGGTAGGCTTCATACTGTCTGCTGGTGAGAGTTTCTATGTCTCTGGTGTCTGTGTGTGTGCAGATGTGTGTATGTGTCTGTGTGTGGATGTGAGTTTGTGTCTGTGCTTATGAGTGTGTCCGTTTATATCTGCGTTTATATGTTTGCCTCTATCTGTGTCGATATATTTGTGTGTTTCTATCTGTTTGTGTGCATTTGTGCCTATGATTGTGCGTGTTACTGTGTGTGAATGATTGAAGGGTGAATTGGAGAGTCAAAAATGTAGTTAATTCCGTATATATGAGGGCGCATAATTCTTTCTGTGAGCGTCTGTGTACGTTAGTATGTCTGTGTACGTTTGTATGTGTCTGTGTTTGTGTGTATGTGTGTGTGTGTGTTTGTTAGAGGGAATGCTGTCTGGTATCGCTCCAAAAAGTAAAAGACAACTAAGAAAGAAATAATAAGACTAAGACCGAAATTAGAAAAGGAATTTGGAAGTGGGAGAAGTTGGTGGATTTGTTAGTGGATTTGAGTTTACAATAAATATATTTACTAACCAATCAGCCACTAGTGTTTGATAATTGTACAGTATACAACAGTGGTGTTAATGTTAAACCAACCGTCACACTTCCAGCGCTTTGGCCACACATAACCTGTTTGATGTTTTGACAATCTCGACTCTCCCATTGTTCATGTTCATGACGCGTTGAACAGTGATGAACACGAAGGGATGTGGAAAGTAAAACAAGTAAACTACACAAGTGATCATTATGACTGATCATTTCTCTCCCTCTTTCATTTTAGTGGCTATTGTGATACTGCCTCGAGGAGCTTGACATTATTTTTCACCTCCTGGAAGGGCTCGGAGTACAGAGTAATGTTGATGATAATAATAATAATAGTAATCGTTCATTTCATACAGCTTTTTATCGCTTCATCAAGGCTTCTCAAAGCGCTTCACATAATATACTGTTTGAAAGAGAGAGTACATGAATTTTAGAGGGATAGCGAGAGACAGAGTTTGTGTCTATATATTTTGTCAGTGAATACAGAGAAGACAAATAGATTTCTTTTTCAACCCACCAGTAAAACTCAGATTTTTCTATGGACATAAAGCTTCACAATTTCCTCCTCAGTCCCACACAAACCGCGTCATAAGCTGCATGGCAGATAAAATCAAATGTCAGCAAATCTATTTTTCAGTTAGTTGAGAACAAAATCTAGTGAGAAAAGTGAGTGTACCTCTTGTGGGCAAAACATAGCAGCCAATTGCGAAAAGTGATGGAATTCGTGACAGAACTGTTATCATTATTTTGTGAAAGGAATTATTACACCCGTAATAATGGTTTGCGAACATTTTTGAGTTAGTATCAAAATACAAAGTCAAAGCAATTTTATATATTTGTGTAAGTGAGATTAATGCAGAATTAGGAATATTTGCTCTCTTGCAATTTAAATCCCACGGATCTGGGGCAAGCTGGAGAACTAGGTTTGATTTCGGGCATGCGAAATGTTGGGGGAGGTTTCCTTACTCCATATGATTCATAATAATTCTTCAAGAAAAAAANGTAATGGTAGATTGGTCACTTGAATCCACGATTGATTGTGGGACACTGCTTTGCTCAATCGGTTGCCCAGTTTCACCACAACTATACAGACAATTCACTTTGCAGTCTATTCTGTGAAGCGTTTTGAGACACCGAGAAGCCATTTAAAGCAGTGTATTAAATGAAACTATTACTATTATTTTACTTTAGAAGTAGTTCCCCAATCGACTAACAGGCTTATTCCTACTTACTGATGGTAAAACGAGGCGCGTGTGTGCAACACGGAAACGTGCCCAACATTTCGCCCTGCCGGGAATCCATCGCAGATTCATCGCTTGGGGTTTGATTTGTTACAGGGAAAATATTCCTATATCTGCATTAATATCAATTATATAAATATGCTTTTGCTCCGACTGTGTATTTTGATATCAACCGAAAAATGTGTAAAAAAAACATATGAATTAAGTTGTAGAATTCGCAGATCCTCAGCATTGCACACGCAATAAAAATATTCAGAATTCTATATTAATCTCAAATATATAAACCTTTTTAAGCTTTAACGCTCTCCCAACTCTCTCTGTCTCACACGCACAGACACACACACAATTGCGCGATGCTCACGCTCTCTGTCTCGCAATCTCTATCATACGCTCCCTCTGTCACACACTCTCTTTAAAACATCCTCTCACACAATCGCTCTCAAGCACACTGTATCTCTCAAAAACACACATTCTCTTTCCAGCAATCGCTCTCATACACTTTCTCTCACACTCTCTCATACACAGTTTCTCTCACACACGGTCTCTCACGGAAATTCTCCCTCTCACACACACACTATCTCTGATGAACATTCTCTCACACACTCTCTCACATACTCTCACACATACTGCCTTCCACATACACTCTCTCAGAGAGCGTCTGTGTGACTGTGTGTGTGAGCTGCTCCTTAATCCATCCTCATCTGACCCGAGCACGAACACTGCAGGTCAGTGTCAGACAGTCAGGAGATGCCCCTCCTGACACTGTATCTCTCTCACTCTCCGACTACAGCTCCCAGGATGCACAGCGTGCCCGGTAACCGTCACCAGAGGTCACTGAGCCGTGACGCATGCCGGGACCTGTAGTTTCCGGGTCTGTGTCGCTGGCTGTGTTTGTGAAGTCACACAGAGAGAGAGACTGTGATTGATATGCGGCCTCCACGTTCCTCTCTCTCTCTCTCCCTCACGTATCTTCCCTGAGCACCGTCAACCGTTTTAGTACCTCCTCTCGGTTTATTCTTTTAACATAACATCACACAACTGGCCTGGTTTCTTAGCAACAGGCCTGGACTATGTATAACAGTCCTGGTCTCTGCATGAGAGGCCTAGCCTTTGCACAAGAGCACTGGCCTCCTTATAACAGCCTGAAGCCTATATAACCGGCCTGGTCTATTGATAATCTGGATCTTTTTTTCTTACCCAATTGCTCTACCCTCTCCTCCGAGTGTCCTGTTATACAGACACCATTCCTGTTTTACAGAGACCGGGCCAGTTTGACAGAGAGCGATATGTTACACAGAATCCATGCCTGCTGTTCGGAAACCAGATCTATGCTATCAATAGACCAGGCCGTATCTATAGGTTCCCAGTTGTTATAAGGAGACCAGTGCTCTTGTACAAAGACCAGGCCTCTTGTGCAGAGACCAGGACATTTACACATAGTCAAGGCCTGCTGTTCAGAAACCTGGCAAGTCATACACAGATCAGTTGCTATACAGAGACCAGGCCTGTTATTCAGAGAGCAGAGCTGTTTTGCATATTCGAGTCCTGTTACACTCATACCAGTGCTGATATTCAGGGACTCGGCCTCTTATACATTGACAAGTCCTGTTTTATAGAGATGTGGCTGCTGTAGAGGAGCCAGGTTTATTATAGGTATTTCATGCCGGTTATATAGATTCCAGGCTATTATAAGAAAACCAGTGCTCTTGTACAAAGACCAGGTCTCTGATATAGAGACCATGCCATTTATATATTCTCAAGGCCTTTTATAGAAAGACCTTCCCTGTTATACAGAAGCCAAGTTATTATACAGAGTCCAGGACTGCTATACATAGACCAGTTCTGTTAATCATAGACCAGGCCTGTTATACACACACCAGGTCTCTTATTCATAGACCTGGCCAGTGATACATAGTCTAGGCCTTTTATATATGGTCCAGGCTGTTATACAGAAAGCAGACCTGATGCAGATGAAGAAGGCCATGCTTGTTATATATAGATCAGGCTTGTCGTACAGAAACCAGTTTGCTATTCAGGGACCAGGGCATTTGTGCAGAGTACAGGTGTTATACAGATATCAGGCTCACTATACGGAAAAGTGGCCTGTCTTAGAGAGTCCAGGCCTGTTATACAGAGACCAGGCTGGTAACCTATGAGTCAAGCCTTTTATACATGGACAAGCTCTTTCATACAGAGACCAGGGTGCTACACAGAGACGAGGCCTGTTATACAGTGATCATTCTGTTATACAGAGACCAGCTATGTTATACAGAGACCAGGCTTTTAGACCGAGAAAGCTTGTGATCCGTAGAACAGGCCAGTTATTAATAGACCAGGTCATAAATATATATAGAGACCAGGCCATATGCAGAGAGGCCAAGCCTTTGATACATAGACAAGGCCTATTATACAAACCAGACACACAGAAGCCAGTCTGTTATACAGAGACCTGGCCAGTTTTACATAGATCTGACCTATTATACAAAGACGGGTCCTGTTGTGGAGAGAACAGCTGTTTTATACAGCGACATGACCTGTTATACATAGACTAGACTGTTTTACAGAAACCAGGCTGATATACACAAACCAGGCTTTTATACAGGTATCAGCCCCATTACACGGAGCAGAGGCCACTTATAGAGAGACCAGCTCAGTTATACGTAGACCAAACCAGTAAACACAGACTAGTTATTTTGCAGAGATAATGCCTATTATACAGAGACCAGAACGCTAGCACATGAGTCAATCCTTTCTTACATAGACAAGCTCTTTCATACAGTGACCAGGGTGTTAGACAGAGACAAGTTCTGTCATACAAGATCAGTCTGTTACACAGAGACCAGGTCTGCTACACAAAGACTAGGTTTGTATACAGAGTACATGCCTGTTATAACTAGAAAAAGGAAAGTTGTACAGATATATGGCCTCTTATACATAGACCAGGCAGTTATAGTGAGACCTGGTCTGTTATACACAGACCAGGCCAGCTATACAGCGATCAAGCCATATATACACAAAGAGGCCACATATCAGAGAATCGTAGATTCGTAGCATTGTACAGCATAAAAAGAGTCCATTCGGCCCATCGAGTCTCTTAGTTAGACGAATTATGTCAATCCCACTCCCCAGCCCTTTCCCAATAACCCTGCAAACCAGACTTCCTCAGATAATACCGACACACCAACCAGTGGAAACATGTTTTCCCTTTCCAACCTACCAAATCCCCTCATGATTTTGAAGACCTCTACCAGGTCTCCTCGTAACATTCTCTGCTCCAATGAGAATAATCCCAGACTCATAATCAACGTCCCTCATTCCTGGTACCATCCTTGTTCATCTCCTCTGCACCGTTTCCAATGCATTAACATCCTTTTTATAGTGTGGTGCACAGAACTGGGCAGAGTATTCTGAGTGAGGTCTAACCAGTGTTCTATAGAGGTTAATCCTAGCCTCCTGACTCTTGTACTCTATGCCCCTATTTATAAAACCTAGAATCCAATTTGCCCTATTTACAGCTTTATCTATCTGTCCTGCCACCTTCAAGGATTCGTTTAACTGGACCCCCAGGTCTCTCTGTTCTTTTACCCCCATTTGGTTGTATTACGCAGCCTCAATTGCCTCCCTTCATTCTTTCTACCAAAATGCGTTAGCGCGCATTTCTCCACATTGAAAATCATTCTGCCATGTTTCTGACAATTTTCCCATTCTGTCTCTCTCTTCCTGCATTTGGCACCTATGCTTCTCATTGTTTAC